GAGCCTATCCTGGCACTCGCTCTGGAGACCAGGCTGGCCTCAAACTCACAGAGATCCGCCTGCCTCTGCCTCCTGAGTGCTGGAATTAAAGGCATGCACCACCAACGCCCGGCTGTTATTGATTCTTATATCTTTGCTAAGAAATCTTAGTCTAAACAAATTCTATCTTCTTTTAGAAACTATCATTCATGTCCACAATTTTGGCATGTTTTATAAATTAGGCATCAAAATCTTTTTCATATGAAAATTTGTTCTAGTTTTGTCAAAGTCTTTTTCCTTAATGAATATTTTGAAGGTTTTCAAATATTTTTTAAAAATGTGTTAGTCTGTGGGCATTCTCTTTCATTAAGCCTTTCTAATCTTCTCACCAAAGCCTCAGCGTCCCGAACTTTTTCCCTTCATAATAAATCTTGAAACTAGGGAATGTGCATAAGCCACATCCATTCTTTCTTTCCACAGTCACTTTAGCTTAGTGGTTTGTTTTTTCCGTTCAAAAACAATTCCAGATAAAGTTTAGAATCAATTTTTTTTTTTAAAGAGAAAATTACGGAGTTTTTAAGTTTATTTACTGATCCCATCGGAATTGTCTTTCTTTTTTTCAGTGCTGGGTAAACTCAGGTTCTGGGACCTGGAAGGCAAAGTGCTCTATCACTGAGTTCTGTCCCTGGCTCATTTTGTTATCTTTACAACAGCAGCAGGGCTTCTAGTCATTGCATTTAGTTTGTCTTTCCACTTAATGCAGTATCTACACTTTTTTCTCATTAATGTTTTAAATGGATTAATGTTGACATCCTGTTTTTCTTTAAAATTATTCCTATTTTGCTTTTTAATGCTATTATGAATTATGCTGGTTTTAAGGTTTATTTGCCAAATTGTTTGTTACTAGTGTAAAGAAATGCAATTGATTTTGTGTATTGAGTTTGTATTGAATTTGTTTACTAGTTCTGTTAGTTACTTAAAAAATGAATCTGTTGGGACTTTTGTGCACACAACTATGAATAAAGACAGCTATATGTTTTCCTTTTTGATGTTTTTGGTGTTTATTTTTCTTACTGTACTGGCAAAGAGTTCCAGTATAATGGTAGGTAGAATAGATGGCAATGCTATTCTTGTCTTGTTCTTAATCTTAGGTGGAAATAATTCAATTTCGATGACCAAATATGATATAAATTGTACAGAACCTTTTCTTACAGTTTTCATTTTAAATATGTTGCTTGATTGTGTGCAGTCACAGTATGTAATAGATGCTAGGTTTTTCTGTATATCTCCTGGTGTCTTATAGCACACCATGTGGCTAGGCTCAGCCTCAAGTTCATAAATTGTGCTGCCTCTGCCTCTTTAGTTCTGGAATTAATGGCACCTACTACCATGTATGGCTCTCCTTTTCCTGTGTGTGTGTTGTGTGTGTGTATGTGTGTGTGTGTGTGAGAGAGAGAGAGAGAGACAGAGACAGAGACAGAGACAGAGAGACAGAGATAGAAGCACATGGCAACGAGTGCACTTGTGCAGCATGTATGTGTTAAACTGTCTGCTCGTGGAAGCCAGTAGCCAACCTCTGGTGTCAGTCTTCATAGTGTGCCTTGTTTGAGACAGGGTCTTGTTATTCTTCCATTACATATATCAACTAACTAGCCTGTGAGCTCCAAAAAGTCTCCTTTTTTGACTTCCCATCTCTCTGTAGTGGCATAAGGATTACAGATGCTTTTCTTGCATACAGATCTGCCTTTCACATGGGTTCTGATTATTTGAATTCAGGTCCTCACTCAAACTATGTGGCAGTTGCTTTTTCCCACTGAGCCATCTCTCCAGGGTGTGACTCTCTTTTTATTTTTTTAATTTATAGCAGAAAACAGGTAACATTTACTTTCAGTACTTTCAAGTATGCAATTTGGTAGTATAGATTACATTCACATCATTGTCTAAAATCAGCATTCATCTACAGCACTCACCTTATTTAGAACTGAAATTCAAGACTATATTAGCAGTAGCTTTTAATATCTTCTAGGACCTGTCAGTGTACAGATTGAACAGAGTGGCTATATATATGAGGACATATGTGGGCATGCTATTATTCTATTGGGCTATGTGTCATTATCTCAGTTCCAGAGTGTTTGGATTACTATAGTTTTATACAAGTTCTTTTTGTATCTATGAATTTTACCCTTATAGATACCCATATTAGTAGAATCATAGTATTTGTCTTTTTGTGATTGACATTTCATTTAGTATACTGCTCTCCATTTATCTGTAGCAGGCTTCTTTTAGACCTCCATCTAGCTCCCAAATCATGACACAGAGACTTATTAATTATGGATTTTTTGTTTGTTTGTTTGTTTGTTTTTGTTTTTCTGAGACAGGGTTTCTCTGGCTTTGGAGCCTGTCCTGGAACTAGCTTTTGTAGACCAGGCTGGTCTCGAACTCAGAGATCCACCTGCCTCTGCCTCCTGAGTGCTGGGACTAAAGGCTTGCGCCACCATCACCTGACTTTACCTTTGTTTCTGTATGCCCTACTTTACAGCTTCTCGTGGCTGGCTGGCTGGCTGGCTGGCTGGGCTGGCTGGTGGTTTCTGGCCCCAGGCCTGTCCTTCTCTTTATCGTTTCCTTTCTTCCTCCCCAACCTCTAGATTTCTCCTGCTACTTATTCTTTCTGCCTGCCAGCCCTACCTATCCGTCTTCTGCCTAGCTATTGGCTGTTGAGCTCTTTATTAGACCAATTAGGTGCCTTAGGTAGGCAAGGCAAAGCAAATGCAACACATCTTTACAAAATTAAACAAATGCAGCATAAACAAATATCTTTACATAGTTAAAATAATATTCTATAACATTTATCCATATTGTTATATGATACATTATACTTCACATATTCTTTAAGACTGGATAATGTTATTTTGTATGTGTATACCACATTTTATTTATTTTTATTCAACAGTTAGTTGATGTTTGGTTTTGTTCAACTTTGAGCTATTGTGAATAATCTTGTTATGAATACTAGTGTACAAAAGCGTATTTCTGAGTTCCTATTTTAAATTCTTTTGGATGGATAAACAGTGTAGGGGAAGCAGTAGCCACGCTTACTTAGGGGCTGGCTACAGGTGTGCCTGACCACACTTGCAAAGGCGTGGTCAGGGTGATGTAGAGCGATACTGGGATGGGACTACAGGCTCTCTTTCAGTTTCTCTTTTGGGCTGCCATGCCAACTGGCTAGGTCGCTCTGTAAGTAAGGCTTTTCCCTATTAAATACCCTTATATTTCTACCTGACTCCGTATTGGTAATTTCCCACTATAAACCAGAAGTAGAATTGCTAAACCATGTGATAATTATGTTTTTTATTTTCCAGTAACTGCCTTTTGTTTTCATTTTAAATTTTATGTAATTTTTTTGTGATTGTATTTCCCCTTTCTCTTTCCTTCCTCCAAGTCCTCCTATGTACCACCTCCCATTCTCTTTCAAATTTATGGCCTCTTTTTCTTTAATTGTTGTTATGTATATATGTGTGTATATATGTTGTATTGTTTTCAATACCAGAATCATCGTTTTATGTTTTTACTAACATGTGTAAGAATTCCAACCTGGGTGGTGGTGGTGCATGTCTTTAATCTCAGCACAGAGATAGGCAGATTTCTGAGTTGAAGGCCAGCC